GCTGCCCCCCAACACAACACAACACACCACACCACACCACCCCCACCCGCGCCTTTCCGCCAGCGCCGCCCACACACGTTCTCCCAGCTCTAGCGCAGCTGCTCTGCGCTGCCCTGTCAGGCCCCCTGCCCCGCCCCCGGCCCTACCTCCATAAAAGGGAGCGCCGTGCGCCTGCTCCTAGCCCGGACTCGCCTCTGCAGGCTCGTGACTGGCTGCTGCCTGTCCACACTTACCCACCCCTGCCATGGCGAAGGAAGCGTCAGCTCCACCGTCCACCCTGAAAGGCGGGCGCCCTCCAGCAGGTAGGCGCCCCTGCTTAGCAGGGAAGCTGCTTGGTTTTCCTCTGGTGGCTGCTCCGCGCGGTTGTGGTTGGGTTAGAGGGGACGGGGACACACAAACGTACGCGCCTGATTGCGTAATATGCTCCGGGGGTGTTCTCTCTCTCTCTCTGTCTCTCTCTCACACACACGCTCACACTCTACTTGCCTGCCTGTAATTGTGTAATGTGTTCCCGTAGTCTCTTGTAAGATCCCCTCCCCGTCGTGCAGGGTCGGGGATGCAGCGAAGGGTGAGACTCCAGCACCCCTCCCTTCTTCTGGCCTTTGCGCAGACCTGACGTTCAAACTCTGGCTGGGCAATTCTCCCTGCCCTTAGGAGCCCCTCGGCAGCCTTGCAACTTACAAAATAATTGGACACCAGCAGATTACTTTTTTTTTAAATGCCCTTGTGCCTTGGGGTCCCGCCCCTGTATTCCTTTAGCCTATTCTTTCATGCAGTGGGCAGCTTTGTACGTTATGTACGTGCTTCTGCATATATGTATCTGGAGCCTTACCTCTCACTCACATAATTTTCATTGAAGTTTTATATCCTACTGTCAAAATATTTTCAAATGCTTATTGTATATTTCTAGAGATGGGCACAAGCAACATAATTTGGATCTAGGTTCAGATCTGACTTTTGGGCACCTCCAGTAATTTTGGCTGTGTTTTTGAACAGGGGTAAGGCCCATTATTAAAAGGCACTAAATGCCCCCTTCTAATTAAGGGTTCAGCTCACTATAGAAAGGCCCTAATCTTGAAATCTAATCCATGATTTGGAAATTCAGGTACAAAAATTCAGGGCATTTTGGACCTAGTCCTGATCTAGTCTAAACTAAATATCAGATGTATCCAAAATATGTCTGCTCTCACTGAGGACTAAGACTGGAGCAAGTTGAATTTTAACTATAATCTATATTATCAGTTAGTAGAAGAAGAAAATTATCTGAAAACTCTTAATGCCAAAACCTCTTCTCTCCCCAAAACTGCCAAAGTTGCGAGACCCTCAAATCTCTCCCCACAAAGTTCACCTTTTGGCTAAGAATGAGCATAAGCAACTTCAGCTTAAAAGGCAACTTAAAAAAAGTTCCAAATGCCTCCTCAATTATAACTATAGCTGTTGTTCCTGCAATACTATAGACAGCACAAAAGACCTCAAGCTGCATTTTCAGTAGGTAAAGCTAAGTTTTCACAAAAACAAAATAGCTGTTAAGAAACTTACAAAAAATAAAGCAAATGATCAGCAACCACATACCTGACACAGCAGAATTCTGAGCGCTCTCAACTCCAATTAATTTTAATGGGAATTGAGGGAACTCTCTACCTTACAGAATCAGGCCCTTAAACTTTGGATTCTTTTTATTAGTAGCTTGTCGATAATTGATTTCTTATTAGAGGAGATTTTCAAAGCCACAAAGAGGAGTTAGGTGCCCAAAAGAATTTTGGTGGAAAGCGGGTATCCATTTGCCCTCTTTGGCTTTGAAACAACGCCTCCATTTATAACATGTCTGGTAACCATCTGAAGCACACTTACAATAAAAACAAACTATTGTTGAAGTTACAATATTAAATCAATTTTCCTTCCATGCTGTAAAATAACGACCTATGTTTTTCCTATTTATGTTGCATACATTTGTTATCGTAACATTTAATCCTATTAAGGCTAGGTGGACCAGTGATGAGCACAAGGATGACTCTTGGTGCTAGTCTGGAGGGGAAATGTATATAAACTTGTATATAGCCCCCTAAATATGCAACTTTAGTGGAAAATGGATGCATTTTGTGTCACATTCATCAGACATTCATTTCTGCAATAAACATGTAAATACACTTAGAGCTGGTCTTGATGAAAATAATACTACTTATTTGATGGAATTCTGCAACCTGCTTGAAGTACTTTTAAAAACAATTTTCCTTTCCTGCTTGTGCCATCCCCAAAAAACTATAGATCTGATGGAAACGCTTGTCTTGGCTGTTTTAAATGCAGAATAGGAACCTTGCCATAATGAAACAACTAGATTAAATTAACCAAAAATCCGTTCAGCTTGTTCTTATTTACTTTGACAGTTATAAAATTTACAAATATTCTTGTGCACAGGAAGAAGGTATTTGCTTTGACAAGTTATCTGAAATATCTTTACATGCTCCTTTACAAAGTTGGATTTGTCTGACATTGCTCAACACTTAAATTGTCATTGTTAGGTCATCTGTAGCTTAATTAGTACTAATTGGTTTTGTGATTGGCAGGCATTTTAATAAATTATAATTAATCTTGAAAGAACACTAGTGCATGATAAATATGCAGTTGATTCCTATCTGCATTATAACTTTTATTATGCATACCCCAGAATAAAATTGTTTACATGATTTACTCAAGATACAATCTTCCTGCTATTACTTGTCTGCTGTGTTGAAAACTGATGTAGAAGGACTCTACTTTTATTTAATTAATAAATAAATAAAAACTATAAACAATTACGTCTAAGATCTCTGGGAAAGACTGCATGAGGGCAGTCAAATTTTAGAACAGTATAGTTTCTATTCCTAAGGATACGGTTTTTAGATTGCAATAGCTTGAACTTACTCTGATTATGCTGTAGTCCAAAAGCTTAAAGATAGTCTTGGGTGGTTCTCTGGGGCTCATTTTTGGTTTTCAGCTTCCACCCACACTGCAGAAGAACCATAACAGAGTTCAAAATAACTCTCTTGAGACTTAATCTTTATCTTATTATGAATTTTCCTCATTATCAGTTTTCCTGAGTATGTTGTGCAGTCTTTTTTTTTTTTAATCAACCTTGTGATGAACAGTTCTGTAGCTGTTTAAGCTATTCACATAGTGTAAATTGTTGTCTTCTAACAGTCAAATCTGGAGGTAGGAGAGTTTCCAAAAAGCAAGAAAATGGAGCTGTTGAGAAAAATTCCAAGAACCCTGGAAAAGAGAAGACCAGGTATTTCATCTACAGTTATGCCTTGATGATTAAGGGTAAAATTAACAGCAAGTTGCATCAGGTTTCCAAAAAGAATAAAGCTTTGCAGTTTTGAACAGTGCAATTAGTAAGCACTAAACTCTGCAGTATACAAATGAGACAGATTTGAAGGTAATCTGAAAAGAAAAATAATTGGCTTGTACCCTTTTTTGCTTCTTTATATTCTCCTTTTTAAAAATTTTTTGTTTATTTTAAATGATTAGGGGGCTGGAGAAAATGCCTGCCTTCAAATGAGAGATATAAAGACCTCAATCTCTTTAGTTTAACAAAAAGAAGTGAGTTGATTAGGATGCATAACTACCTTCACAGGGAGAAAATGTCAGGTACTAAATAGCTTTTTAATCTAGAGAAGGAAAAGCATAACAAGAGCCAATTTCTGGAAGTTAAAGCCAGACAAATTCAAATTAGAAATTAAGCACAATTGTTTTTAACCGGGAGTGTGGTCACTAGAATGAACTATTAGAGAATCCACCATTTCTCTCATCTCTTGATGTCTTCAGATTAACTAGATGCTTTTCTGGAAATCATGGTTTACCCAAAAGACAAATTAAGCTTTAGTCAAACACAAGTTTATTGAACTCAATACAAGCATAACTGGGATAAATTTAGTGGCTTGTGGTCCCTTCTGGCTTTAGAATCTAGAACTCTGTAAATCTATTTTTTTTCCCAGTGTTTTTAATATTAGAAAATCTGATCTGGTCTTACTTTTCCTGAAACAATGGGTGCATTGCTGGGAAATGGGGCTAAGGTGACTTTAAGCACCCTCCTGACCCTGAACTGTTCCAGGGGCTGGAGTGGCCCCCGCTATACCTTAAACAGCCCTAGGGGCCTATCTATGTTAAAACAGCTTCCTGAGGCTGCCATATGGGCCACAGAGCTGTGTGTTGTAGCCCTGTAGGGTGACCAGACAGCAAATGTGAAAAATCAGGATGGGGTGGGGGGTAATAGGAGCCTATATAAGAAAGACCCCAAAATCAGGACTGTCCCTATAAAATCAGGACATCTGGTCACCCTATAGCCCTGTCCCCAGAATGTCTCTTCCATAACTAGTCCTGTTCCTAGCATACCTTGTAAGCCCTAGCTTAGTGGGGAGTTCTTGGAAGGCAGTCTTACAGATGTCCTCCACTGTGATAGCACAGGAAGAATCTACCACAGCTGGAACTGGTGGTGCTAGTTACCCAAGTCCAAGTCCAAGCCCAAGCCCCCACAATCCCCTGGATAGCTAGGCCAGACTGCTGCCAGTGCAGCAACATCCACACTGCTATTTTTAGCTTGCTAGCTCAAACTGAACTAGTGTTATTCCCAGTACAGGTGGGCAGACTCTCACCTTCCAGCTGCAGTGTAGACATGCCCTAAGTCTCCATGTAGACAAGCCCAGAATGATTTGTCCAAGGTCACATAGGAAGTCCGTGGCTGACCTGGCAATTAAACCCAAGTTTTGGCACTAAATCTGATCTCTTTTAAAATGCTATAACTTGCTGGAAATCCTCTAAATTACATTTATTTTTTTCCCCTCAAAGCTGAGAAACAAATTGCCACTAACTGTTTTGGCAGACCCACAGAAATCAGCACTGCACTTCCCTTGCTGGCTCTGAAGACATTGAACTAAAACACTATTCCTGGAACTAGGCTGAGGTGACAGCATTGATTCTGGCACACACAACTAGTAAACAAAGAGCTAATTATAAAATCCATTAGAAACTGGAAAGAAATAAATGATTATGGAGTATATTTTATGCAGGGGATAGTGAACTTTATTTTCAAGATGTAATTATCTTAAAAAAAGAGACCTCATTTGTAGCTTTTACAATAATAATTTTTTTAAAGTAGCTGACTGTTTCATAATGCATGCATGTTAACTTGTTCAGGAAACTTAAGCGTCATGATAAATGGAGCAAAGACTGTCCCTAATTCACAGAGAATAATCCAGTGATTTAGGAAAACAGGACAGTGTGGCTTGGAGGGCTGATAATGTCTTGAAGTCTCTAATCTCTAGATCACCACCGATTCAAATGTGGCTCAGGTTGGTGGTAATATAAATCACTTCCATCTGACACCTGTCAAGTGGCCTATATGAAATGAGTTGATGTCCTGAGTCTAGCTCCTACTAGACTCATAACAGGTGTCTCATCATAGTGGGCACTCTGGTTGGCAGTCTTAGCCAAGAGACTGAGGTTTGAGGAGGTTTGGAGATGGGACTATTCATGCTAGTGGTGGCCTCTCCGGGTCAGGGTCTGGCACAGTTGTAGGGCCACAGCATCTGTGATATACATGTCCTGTTAAAAGAGGGTTTCAACTGTCAGACACCTTTCATGAGAAATGCATTCATGCAATTTCCCTAAATCTCACCACTTGAAATCTATCCAGAGAATGAATACTTTAAATATCTTTAGTAGGTCAAAGTTAAAAAGTTTAATGGCAGATAATTTAAGGGCCTACTAGTGCAACTTTCTACTGTGATTAGTCTCCTTGGAATTTGCAGTCACTGAGGGCATAGCTACACTTGCAGATGTAGAACGCTTTGAGTTAAACCAGCCTTTGGAGAGTGCAGTAAGGAAAGCGCTGCAGTCTGTCAACACTGACAGCTGCAAGCGCACTGGTGTGGCCACATTTGCGGCACTTGCAGTGGCATTGGGAGCAATGCATTATGGGCAGCTGTCCCACAGGGCACTTTTTCCCATTCTGGCGCTATGGCTTGTGGAAGGGGGTGTGGGGCATTCTGGGTCCTGTCCCAATGCCCCGTGATGCATTGGCTCACATCCCAGCATTCCCTGTCCTTCCGTCCACATTTGGCACCATCTTTCAACGTTTTTTGTACTGCGTGCTCTTCCCTTTCGGTCTGCGGGAATGGAACCCGAACTGCTGAAGAATATGCTGATGAGTCTCACCAGCATATCACATTTGGCAGTCAAGTTACTCGTTAAGATCCAAACGGACAGTGAGGACTCCAACGATATCAACTCGAGTAACACATACGACACGAGATTGCTTGTGGCATTCACGGACATGCTCGCTACCATGGAACGCCGCTTTTGGGCTCAGGAAACGAGCACTGAGTGGTGGATCACATCGTCATGCAAGTCTGGGATGACGAGCAGTGGCTGCAGAACTTTCGGATGAGAAAAGCCACTTTCATGGGACTGTGAGCTCACCCCAACCCTGTGGCGCAAGGACACGAGATTGAGAACTGCCCTGATGGTGGAGAAGCAGGTGGCTATTGCAATCTGGAAGCTGGCAACTCCAGACAGCTACTGATCAGTCGCTAACCAGTTTGGAGTGGGAAGGTCGACGATTGGAATTGAGTTTGCAGAGCCATAATCGCATCCTGCTCAGAAGAACCGTGACTCTGGGTAACGTGCATGACATTGTGGCTGGCTTTGCACAAATGGGTTTCCCTAACTGCTTCCCATTTATCACCCCTCCACATATTCCAATTCTGGCACCAGCCCACCTAGCCTCTGAGTACGTTAATCGGAAGGGGTATTTTCTCTCTGGTTCTCTAGGTGCTTGTGGATCTCTATGGGCGTTTCATTGATGTTAATGCAGGCTGGCCCGGAAAGGTGCATGACGCACGCATCTTTTGGAACACTGGCCTGTTCAGGAAGCTGCAAGCCAGGACTCTTTTCCCAGACCAGAAGATCACAGTAGGGGGAAGTCGACATGCCCATTGTGATCCTTGGAGACCCTGCTTACCCTTTAATGTCGTGGCTCATGGAAACCCTATATGCAGAGCCTTGCCAGCAGCAAGGAGCAGTTCAACAGGCTGAACTGGTGCAGAATGACTGTGGAGTGCCCTTTTGGCTGTTTAAAGGGCCGCTGGCGCTTCTGTATGGGAAGCTGGACCTGACCAATGAGAGCATCCCTGCAGTTATATACACTTGTATAACATTTGTGAAGGGAAGGGTGAAAGATTCACTCAGACATGGAACTCGGAGGTTCAACACCTGGAGGCTGAATTTGAACAGCCAGAGAGCAGGGCTATTAGAGGGGCCCAGCATGGGGCTGCAAGGATTAGGGATGCC